TTAAGGAGATATTTTTCAAATGGTAATCATATGATATACTTCCTTTCTGGTTTTCTATTACATATACTGTATAGAGGAAGAAACTATATAAAATGTTTATAATATAGGTTTAGAATATAAATATAGGTGTGCATATAATACAAATAAAAACCTCCTGTCATGAAATCTCTTAGTGTCTAAACTATTTCCTAAGCAGCGTGTGGAGCTTAATATTTATATATATATAAACTGTGAAATTCACGAAATGGATTTCTGCTAATAAAATAACTTCAAGCGTTTTAGTAAAGGGCATTTCCTGATATCATGTCCACTTATGCTATACAGACATTTTAATGACTGTTTTCTTTATCCGAAAGCAGATTTTTAAGTTACTTTGTTATAGAGAAAACACACTGGTGCAAATTTCAGGGAAAGGCTTCACACATTTTTTAGTATAAAAAGGGACTTCTTTTTAAAAGAAAGTTTTATTATGTTCTAGTGCCTGTCTCTAGATATAATTGAGGTTTATCTTTATTATTTGTTCTGTGTACACAACTCATAGATTTGTTGACAAGCCAGCCAAAGCTTCTATAATTGGATAATGTGCTTAAAGGAAAATCTTATGAAATCATTACATTTCACTCGGGAGAGATTAAATAACTGAAATCCTGTACACTAGGATATACACCTTTACAGTGGCTATGTATCTCACAGGCATGTCTTTTGTCTGCACTAACGGGCAAGAGAACAGTCTTTAAAAATCAGTTTCTCAGTGGACCCAAAGACCAGAGACACCATCCAGCCTTTTTCTAAGATTTTTATTTATTTATTTTTAGAGAGGGAAGGGAGGGAGATAGAGAGAGAGAGAGAGAGAGACATCAATGTGCGGTTGCTGGGGGGCGTGGCCTGCAACCCAGGCATCTGCCCTGACTGGGAATCGAACCTGTGACACTTTGGTTCTCAGCCCGCGCTTAATCCACTGAGCTATGCCAGCCAGGGCTCACCATCCAGCTTTTTTAAAAAATGATCTTAATTAAGTGTGTTCTTATTAAAGAACAGATTGAACATTAAAGAGTGTGGAATGTTCGAGAGCTGTGATTGTTGCAAACATTTTGGATAGCCGAGAGGCTTATTTCAGAAATACTGATTACTCGGTATTTTCTTTGCCAAACTCCAAAGGAGAAGGAACCCTTTCGTACATGGCGTGAGTTTGGTGAACCAATATTCTGTTGATGCAGAAAAGGCTAATTACATAGGTAATGAAAATATTCCCTTTTAATTTCTAAGATTTTTGATGCCTCCATAAGAAGGCCACCACCATGACTGGCTGTCATCAATTTTGAACTGAATGTTTCAAAACAGATGAACTTTAATAATAGAAACCTGGGACCCAGAGAGATGAGAAATGTACTTTATTATCTTTGCAACATTGCTCTCATTGTAAATAAAGTGTTAATTATATACTGTTGCACTTGTAGCCTTTACCTTTCACACAATTTGAACAAAAAATTTGATTTGAGGTGCACTTTTTCTGTGGTTCAGACTCTGCACAATCTAACATGAAATACAATAACGCCACAACTTACTACTTTCAAAATCAATAGGAGAGGAACTGGGGCGATTTGAATAATACATCAAGAAGAATTGGATCTCCTGGCTGGCGTAGCTCAGTGCACTGAGCACGGACTGCGAACCAAAGCGTCGCAGGTTCGATTCCCAGTCAGGGCACATGCCTGGGTTGCAGGCCACGGCCCCCAGCAACCTCACATTGATGTCTCTCTCTCTCTCTCTCTCTCTCTTTCTCCCTCCCTTCCCTCTCTAAAAATAAATAAATAAAATCTTTAAAAAAAGAATTGGATCTTTGGGCACATCTTGTGGGATGCTTTAAAATTAGCATTATTCAAAGGAAACTACATTTTGGCCTATTAATTTGGCACAATCATCAAGTACATTGTTGTGTGTTTTTGTTCACACTGATTTTGGAGTGTTCTGTGCCCTTTGCTACAACCCCCTGCGGGGCTGCCATAAGCAAATAATTGAGGACCTTGTTCTCAAATGTCAGCCTGTAAGAAGTTAGAATACATGTCAGGGTTTGGGTGAATTGAAACTTGGTTCATCAGAGTTTTCTCTGCATCAGGAAGCATAACGAGTGTTGTCACGTACTAAGCTAAGGAGACATAGATGATGTATTGAATAAATGTTCATATATTTATTCAATCAGTACTTATATAAAACATTATCCTTCAATGGACTCTACTGATGAAGACGCCTGGCAGTTTTGCTACAAATGATTTGAGTCCCCAGTTGGGGTGCACAGGGGAGGCACCGGATCAATGTTACTCTCTCACATTGATATTTCTGTCTCTCTCCCTCTCTCTCTTCCTTCTTTTCTCTCTAAAATCAGCAAAATCATATCCCTGAGTGAGAATTAAAATAGGATTTAAAATTTGATTTACTCACCAAAATTATGACCTTTTAAAATTGTATGAAAATAGCTTTATTGTGTGACTCTGAAGTTATCCATGATAAAATAACTTCACTGTTACTACTTTATTAAAGTAAATGGGAATTATAGGGTGAATTAACCACGAACGTTAGCAGTATCAGTTTCTATTTATTAGCCATTCTTCCTTTCACACTTAGGCAGATGCCTCTAGTGTGCATTGGGTTCTTAAATATTTGTGCTAGGATTATGAAGGAAATATTAAAATATGTTTGTGTAAATAATACAGCATGTTTTGGTATTATTCTCATGATAAATCTTAGCTATTTTATGTGGCTTAAGTGGGAGCTGCATTTTTATTATAAAATGTATTTTCTTAATTTCAACTTTCTAATCCAATTATCCCCGTACTTTAATTTACTAATTAAGATATTTGTTTTGGTTATAATTCGGAAAATACTATAAGAAACTCAATTATGTTTACAAGTAAGCACTTATGAACGCTTAAATTTGTATATTATTATTGCAGTGTGTAAGAAAAAATAACATCTGAGCTGTTCGTTGTGTTTTAATTTGTTAATTAATAAATTCAATCTCACAAAACTCAATAACCTGAAAACAATTTTCTTAATGAAAACATATTTAACGTGTTAGTTGTATTCATTCTGTGTATTAGTAAAATGACATTTTAAGTTGTACATACATAATATACACCATCATTTATAACATAACATTTGGTTAATGTTAATTAATACATTTGATTTCTGTACTTACAAAGAGAGGGACTTATTTTTATTTTGCAAAAATCCTGAGCAGTGTGGATGCTTTAAATTTAAAAATACATTTTATGAAGAAAAGGTTTAGAACTATAGTGAATACATTTATTAATTTCTGTGTTAGCATACAATATTACTTTAGAGCAAAGAAAACATTCCCTTTTTGGACCACGTTTCATGTGATGAATTTGTGCTTCACAGACTTAGTCTTAAAACTTTTATGCAGAATTTGTTTATTGTCCTGAATTTTAAAAAAAAATTATCACCCTGGCTGGCATAGCTCAGTGGATTGAACGCAGGCTGCGAACCAAAGCATCGCAGGTTCGATTCCCAGTCAGGGCACATGCCTGGGTTGCAGGCCACGGCCCCCAGCAACCGCACATTGATGTTTCTCTCTCTCTCTCTCTCTATCTCCCTCCCTTCCCTCTCTAAAAAGAAATAAATAAAATCTAAAAAAATTGTTTAAAAAATTATCAACATTGGACTTCAGTGGATTCTGAACCAATTCTCATTTTTCAGCGTGGAAGCTAAATGTCTCCTGGGATAGGTTTTCTAAATGTGTTTGTTTTCGTTTTTATTATTGTCGCGTCACCTGTTTTGCTTCTTGGTTTGCACCTCCTCACCCGTAGGTGCATTTTAAAATCCTCCACAGTGATTTTCTCTGACCTTTCCAGTCACCAGATGAAAAAGGATTTGATAACTAGGTGTAGACTGCACTGAAATGGAAGGCAGTGCACTTGAAAATGGTACATTTAAATATTACAAGAGTTAGTTGTTGCAAAACTAAATTGGAATATTTTGCATGGGGTGTGCGTCCACTCACAGTCCTTATTGAAGCAGAACCACTGTTTGGCGGGCGGGGGTTGCGGAGTTTTATTCAGATGATCAGTCCTACCTAAAGTATCTTGTGAACATGCTGTTTTTATACTTCCACTTGTGTGACCATTACATTGTATTGGATATGTTGTGATGCAAAAGAAATGTACTGTGTGGGTCAATGACACTTAAAACGTTGGCACCCTTCTCTCGTTAACCCTGAGAAGCAGTACCGCCACCTGCACGTTTCTCTGTCTGACCTATTCCTTGCCTGTGAGCGTTTAATATGCCTTTAATTTCATCGTGTTTTAAATGTATTCAAAAAGATTGTTCAACAAGTTCAAAATGCTTGTCTTCAAAGTTTTTATCTCTCCCTGCAGAGTAGTAGATATATCAAGCAATCATTTTTATTGCTGTTCTTACATTTTACAGAGAATGAATTTGAGACACTTGTGTCCAGATCAACACATATCCAAGTGTTTGTAAACATGTCATCGTTTTGTTTCCAAATACACTTTGGTGTTGGTCCTCAGTCAACACACAGTGTTTGGAAGGAAGTCACTGAATGCAATGCCTACATTTATTTATGTGGAAATTGGCAACCATCTCCATTCTCCCATATTCTAACGATGAAAACGAAATGCCATTTTAGTAAACATATCATGCCAACAGATTTTAGTTGTGAAAACAGTTGGGTTATAGAGAAAGTGTCTCCATCCAGGTAACAAGACTTCCACTGGGCCGTCCTCACACCACTATCTGTTGGTTACTGGTTTTTCCCACAACGGTTTCCCACATCAGATTTGCAGGCCGAGAAACCTGTTAGGTCATAAGCATGTTTGCTTTGTAGGAGTTTTTTGACCTACAAAAATAGGTTCAAAATATATTGTAATATATTGTCATTTACATGTGTTTGCCTGAATTAATGTATTGAGAATGAGAGAAAATACGTATCACGTTTAACTTTGTCAAACTCTTTTTTTTAGCTTTCATTCCTGGACTAAAGAAAGGTACAGTAGAACCACCACGAACCATACCTGTCACGGTGCATGCGCCATTTTCAAGTGTATCGCTAATTTGTGTGTGTTTTCAGAAGGTGTGGCCTTTGCAATTTCAACTGTTTGCTTGAAACACATTTGCAATTGTTGCAGATGAACTGATATGTAGGAAAGGTTTTCAGTTGGTTGGGTACTTGGTGATGTGTAGTTCATCTCAAGAAAGCAGAATTACTGTAACTCCATAGTCAGTTTCTAATTCACAGTGGTTACTTTCAAAGGACGTACAGACTTAAATTATTATTCATTTCTCCTCTGACATTGTCGTCATATTCAGCATTTTGTCTGAGGAGGCTTGAAAAATATCATTCTACTTTATATTTTTATTGACATTTCATCTGTAAATTGTACACGTTGTGTGCGTGCCTAACCAAGTAACCCAAGTTTACGTTCTTTGTGAACTTGTACATAATAGGCATGCTCTTTGCTAAATGATAGTGTATAGATTATCTGTAAATATATACAGGTTCAGGTCGATAGAAAACAGATTTCTTTAAATGTGAAGTTTGAGCAATCAGTTAAAATGTATACAGTTTTACTGTGCTGATAGAGTGTTATGCTGCTGTGGGATGTTTTGTTTATTTGCACTCGCTGAGAATACGTACCCATTTCTTTACTGTCTACTTCATATCTGTCATATTGTTCCATTGCTATTTTAAAAAAGGATTTGTTTTACTTCATTCACTTATTTGGAAATGTGGTTTTGTAGTCCATTGATATTTTGAGCAAGTAGAAATAATACTCAAAGAATAAATCTTCCTGAAATCAGTCATAAAAATCTAAATTAGTATGTACAGAACCTCGCTTTTAATCATTTTTTGACATATCATCAAAACTAACAGCATGCTTTATCATTTTTTGGTATTTTCAATGTTCGTAAAATATTGCTTCGGTCTCTTTTATATTCTGTTGGAGTCACTCTCTTGAGGTTTTATATAATGCACTGTAATGCCCATTGTAATTTTTTGACTAACGCGTAAGTAATGGAATTCCAAGTTAAATGTCGTATTCTGTTTGAAAGTCTGGAGTCGTTAACACTGATGTGGAGAATTCAGGTGAGAGCAAGAGCGTTGCCCGTGCTGCTCAGCAACCGCAACTATCTCGGGGCCCGGGGGCTTGTTTGTATCTGTGGCGACAATATCGTAGCTGATCATAACTATTCACAGGTGTAGTGATGAGTGCATGAAACCACCGTGGTCCATTCACACAATGAAATAGTACTCAACCGTGGGAAAGAAGGAGCTCCTACCCTTTGTGACAGCATGCATGGATCTGGAGAACATTACGCTAAGTGACATAGCCAGGTGGTGAGGGACAAATGCCATAGGATCTCACTCCTATGTGGAGTCTAATGAACAAAATAAACTGGCAGACAAAACAGAAACAGAGGCACGGACGCATGGGACACACCGACAGTTGTCTTACCTGTGTAAGACATTAACACTACTTAGCTTTTCAACATTCACTGGCACACCAACGTGTCATGATCATTACAGTTAAAACCACGCTTTCAATTTTGCTGTAATTTACTTAGTATATTCATGATACAGTTGCGCTTTGACTTGAAGCTGCACTGAAATATCCTAGTGCCTTTTGTGCTTCCATATTGTGATCATTTTCATGCCGTATTTTGTATAACCGCTTTCCCTTAGCAGTTCACTTGAGCAGACGCATTAGTATTTGCCTCACATTATACAATTTCTCAGGCGTATTGCACGGTATTAAACATAAGACAAGAAACCATATGTAACCCTAATCGTACATTTACAAAATGGGGATGATTTCCTTCATGCAACTTTTCTGTTAAAGGCTGACGGACAACCAGGAATGACATTATCTTCTCCAATACAAGAAAGTAGGCTCTTTCTTTCGTAGTAAATGACATTTGTGCAGGCAAGTTCTTGGCAATAAGAAAATTGCCTATACTTCTGTGGCGACTTGACTTGTCCCTAGGGAAGAAATTGCAATTACGGGGTGGGGCAAAAGTAGGTTTACAGTAATTCCTATGGAAAATAATATGATAATGAATAAATAAACACAGAAGAATCAACTCTGGTTTGGGCATACTCATAGCTGTAGACCGACCTTTGACCCACCGTGTACATACTTACGGATTCATTCAGGGCAATTCTCTTGTCCCTCTTGTCCCTCCTCCTAAGGACACTACGCATTAAGAAACATTTGTAAATTAATGCTTTTCATTGCATTTGTCTGCAAGTGTACTTTCCTTTTTTGGAACATGTGTTAGTATAACAGTGAAAATCTCAGCTCCTGCACGTTCTGTTGTCGTTGAGGTTTGAGCGGTAAGAAGTTAACTGCTCTGTCACCTGCGCCTGCTTTTCTAGCCTCGTCTCCCACTGCGCAAGCTGCGCTATTTCCACTGTAGACATTACTCTACCTACCATCCGCCTCCGTGGCCCTGTTCCTGCCAAAACTACGAGGTCTGTGCAGAAAGTATCCAGCCGTGTACTATGAAAAAGAGAGACCTTTATTGAAGAAGATACAAGAAACACTGTCCATAGGACAATGACACCTCTGTCCCCTTCAAAGGAGGCACCTGGGGACCTCGCACAGGTCTCCCAATCGCCATCAGCTGCCCCGTGGTAGTTTCCTGAATCTCATCAACAGTCTGAAATCTCTTCCCTTTCAAAGGGGATTTTAGCTTTGGGAAAAGCCAGAAGTCGCAGGCGCCAAATCTGGGCTGTGGGGGAGCTGAGTCCCCTGGGGATTTGATGTGTCACCAAAACACTCTGCACGAGACGTGATGCATGAGCGGGCGCGTTATCAACATGAAGCTGCCAGTCAAGAATCATTTTGAATATGACAGCCACAGAGTACACCCGCTCACCTAGCCATGTCTACCGCCCCCACTGACTGGTACAGTGAAGTCGTCATTGTTCTCACACGCGCATTCCAGCCCACTCTCCTTGGCTGCCAGGTTACATGAAAGTCATGCAAACCGTTCTCGTTATATTAACAACGGCTGGACATTTTCTGGACAGGCCTCATCACATACATCACTTTTCTCTGATGTTGTGAAATTGATTCTATTTGACCGCCATGGAACAGGATAAAATATCATACTTCTTTACTTAGGTTTGCAGGTGCCACATCAAAATTTGAGCCAATTATGAGGCAGAAATTTTTGTTAGAAATACACTTTACCAGAGTGTCACAGGTTCGATTCCCAGTCAGGGTACATGCCTGGGCTGCAGGCCGTGACCCCCAGCAACTGTACATTGATGTTTCTCTCTCTCCCTCTCTCTCTCCCTTCCCTCTCTAAAAATAAATAAAATTAAATTTTTAAAAAAAGAATTAAAAAAAAGAAATACACTTTAAAAATGGGCATTTTTCTACAATCACACAGAAATACATTGCTGAAAAGACAACTTTCTTGTTAGGTAAAATGTGTATCTAAGAATATAGCCCAGGAGTCTTCAATTTCAAGTGATTGGTTATCCTTCATTTTGATCTGCACCGCACCGTCAAATGAAAATATAAGAGACAAATGGAATTTTAAATTGTCTAGTGGGTATACATTTGGAAAAGCAAAAACAAATGGAAAATTAAACTCAGTAATATATTTTATTGAACCATCATTCCTCCATGTAATCAACGTAACATAAAAATGATTGATGAAATAGTTTAAATGTCTTTTTATAGCAAGTTCAGCTAACCTCACTTCAGCTTCTCAGAGCCCGAGGATTAATTGCTGGGTTTGGGCGTGGGCACACGTTTGTTTGATATTAGACCTTGAAGAAAAACAAACAAACGAGCAACAGCCCTTGAAGCCCTTGAATCTGCGCGTGCTCATCTGAGAATATTTTCCCCCTGGCGGGTCAAAATTCAAAGAAAGCAAAAAACATTTGGGAAAGATACTCGGGTTGACTTTTGCTGCCACGGGCAATTAAAAATGGCGAAGGTGAAGCAGCGGAGGATTGTGTAGATCAAAGTCAACACTTTTAATTGCAGACTTTGTCTAATCTCTTTGAGTCTCGTAAGAACCCCAATTCGTTGCGGTGTGCTCCTTGAAAGTCTTCAGGAGGTTTAAAGAGGAGCCCTCAGTAGACAGCACTGATTGGCACCAGGTACCCTGGAGGTCGCAGAGACATGGGTTACGCTGCACACTGTTCTACACGTCAGGGTGCATCAAAGTTTCCACCTCCCACTTCATGTAAAAAGTGGTAGTTCAGTTTTAAAAGGTTAGTGGTATAAGTTTCAATGTTCATGTTAATGTCAGAAGCTGAATTTCACATCTACACAATGGAATTCTATGCAGCAGAAAGAAAAAAGGAGCTCCTACCCTTTGCGACAGCATGCATGCAACTGGAGAGCATTATGCTAAGTGAGATAAGCCAGGCGGTGAAAGGCAAATACCATAGGATCTCACCTTTAACAGGAACCTAAACAACAAAACAAACAAACAAGCAAAATACAACCAAAGACACTGAAATAGAGGACAGGCTGACAGTGACCAGAGGGGAGAGGAGAGGGAATTTCAGGGGAATTTGAGGGGAGAATGGGAAGGGTTTACAGGAACAAGTATAAAGGACACATGGACAGAAACTAGGGGCAGGTGGAAATGGGAGGGAGGTGGGGAGGAATGGGTGGGTGGGCTGGGATGGGAGTAAAAGGCAGAAAACTGTACTTGAACAACAATTAAAATAAAATTTAAAGAAAAAGAAGCTGAATTTCTCAGAAGATTAAATAAAAGCCTATACTATCTTAAACAAATGTAAAATATTTCTATAACAGATGTGTGTCAGAGACAATTTAAAACATTTTTAGTCACTTTATAATCACTTATCAGTGTTCCAAAATATCACCAAACTCAAAACAGAGAATACCTTACAAAGTGATGAGATTCAATGCTCATTGAATACAAAAACATTCAAATAAATTGACAAATTCTTTACACTTAGGCTATAATCAAATCTAATTATATCATTGCTTAT